GCAATGCGTGAGTGTAACTTTCGCCCAACATTTATTGTTACTTGTATTCTTAATATTTGCCATTGTGACTGGAGTGAGATAAAAATCTTAGTTTTGAAAAAATGAATTTTATAACTAATGAATTTGGGGAGGCAACTAGCAGTCTCTGTTATCAGGCAAACCACAGGACAATGGGCAGCCATTGAAAGAAAATAGTGAGATTCATTAATATTGACGTGGTAATTCAGTTAAAAAAGAACAAATGATATTAATAGATACTTCTCAAAAGAAGACATGTAAATGGTCCAAACTGTGCTCAACAACATGATCCATCAGAAAAATGCAAATAAAAATTATAACACAACCTCTTCTCAGAATGGTTACATCCAAAAACAAAGAAAAAAAGAAAGAAAGAAAGAAAGAAATGCTGGCAAGGATGTTGAGAAAAACGAACTCTTATTCACTGTTGATGGAAATGTAAATTAGAATAGCTACTATAGAAAACAGTATGGCATTTCATCCAAACACTAAAACTAGATCTACCATACGATTTAGTTATCCCATTCCTGGGTATATATCCAAAGGAAATGAAATAGACATACCAAAAAGTTACCTGCATACTCATGATTATTGCAGCAACACGCATAGTGGCTAACATGTGGAATTAACCTACTTGTCCAACAGTAGAAGAAAGGATGGGAAAATGGGCTACACATACAATGGAGTATTGTTCAACCATAAATAAGAATGGGATCCTGTCATTTGCAGTGAAATGGAAGGAACTGGAGGAAGTCACATCAAGCAAAACAAGCTCAGGTATAGAAAGACAAGTAGTGCATATTCTCTTTCACAGGTGGAAAGTAAAATACGTTAACATGAAGGTAAAATAGTGATTAGTGGAGGTTGGGAATGGTGTGTGTGGAGGGGAAGGGGCTGAATGGAGCTTGGATAGGGCATGCTGTTTGCATTTGTGATAGTATCATAATGAACTTCATTAATATGTATTATTAATACAGGTTAATACAACTTTTAAAACCAGAGATTATTTCAAGGTAACAAATTACTGCATTGTTGGGAGCTGCCCTGGATGCAGACGCCTTTAAGTCCTAATGCATAGGTTCTGAACAATTACTGCATTCAGTCTGGCAGGGTAGCGCCAGGTCTCAGTAATGTGGGTGTTACTCCAGTTTGGATGACAGGCCGTGGCCCCAGGAGTAGGCATCATCTGTCACCCCTGGGGGTTGAGTTATACTCACCTGTTCCTTGGTAATCCTACCCCTTTGCCCTTTTGAAGATAGAATGCATGGACCCTCCCCTTGTGTGTCCCCCATATAAGAATAAAAAATTCCAGTAGCTCTCTCTCTTTCCAYGGATCCTTAAGGTCGAGAGCCATCTTGGATTTTGAAAAGGTACTTCTGTGTGTCTGCGTGCTTTCTTTGTCAGTTTTCTTAAGTTATTGGAATAGTCAGATTTTGTGAACCCAGCATTAGGTCGCCAGTTAGGATAGATGGTGATACTGCATCTCCCTGGTTTCAGAATAAAGTTGTGGAAGTTGTAATAGCCAAAAAGTATCTGACTCTACCTACCTTTGGAAAAAATATTTCCATAAGTCCAGATAGCCATAACTGGATCTGAGGTTATGCAGCTAGGAATTATTAATTAAAAAAAAAACAACAAAACAAAGCAAAACAAGAACAACCAAACCAAATAAAAACAAAAACAACCCACATTCTTGTCTTTACATATGAGMGAATTTTGCACTAAAAGATTGACATACAGATAAATTAAATAGAACTCTTCAAGTTTTTAAATGGAGCTTGTAAATTTGGAGAATGAAGTTAGGTGTTGTACCATGATCCACACAACTGCTTTTCTTTTCACGTCTCTGCCCACAGTTTCCTTCCCATCCACTATTTGGGCTATTTTAAACTCTCATTTAATCACTCAGTCCTTTATTTGTTACACAGATAAGTTTTCTGTGTTCTTTCCAACTGTTTTGGGACATTCCTTATAGTAAGGTAGGTGGGTTAGGGCGTTCTCCAGGATCCCAGCTCAGGGTGAGGGGAAGATGCTTGTTCTCTAGGGACACAGGGGTATGGGAGGAAGGGAAGTATTCATGTGGTCAGATGGGAGGAAGTGGAGCCAGAGATGTGATCCTTACATGTGCTGTCCCTCCAGCTGATTGACAAGAGCACACAGAAAGAGACACACACAGGAATGTTTCTATAATGACAGGCTCTGCAGGTGCTGGGAGGAAAGGTTTGCAAAGCAAGTTAGTGAGCAAGGGGTGCAGGTGGGGCTGGCCTAGTTCTCCTGCCTTTGTTCACAGTCTGGGAGGCTCAGAAGTCTCCCCTGGGAAATTGACCTTAGAGCCTGAGGTCAGAGTGGAAATAACTAGGCCCAGGAAGTGGTGAGGGGAGCAGAGGGGACCAAGTTCCCCAAACTGAGTGAACTCTTTGTGCAGAGGCTTTTGGCAGGAAGATGCTGTGCATAGGAGAAAAACTGAAAGCGTATCATCATGAAGTGAGACTGGGGTGCAAGATGATGTTCAAAGGTTGAGCAGGGGAGGGCCACGTGCTCTTGTAGGCCATGCCATTGATTTTTGCTCTCCTACCTAAGACAGCTATTTCCAGGGACTCGGCAAAACATTAGGGTGTTGATGAAGGTGGAAGGTGGAGAAAGAGAGCCATTTAAGAGCTATGTAAAGTGGAGCCTCGCTGGTAGTGGGTGAGTCAAAAGACGGGGGAGAGTGGTGTCAGGATGTGCTGAGGCTCTGACTGATTAAAGAAGGGATCACTGTCCAGGGGATCAGGACTCCAAGCCACTGTGTCTGTCACAATTTCTTGTTTTCATTGTGAGAGGTGGGTATTTGTCCCTCCAGGTTCACAGACACATTTGAATCTTATGTCTTGTCTTTAGAACAGAGGCTCATATTAGAAGAGGGAGGGAGCAGGAAGGCAGGAGAGGAAGCCAAGTAGGTAGAGGGGACAGGCAGGAGGGGTGAGAGGTGGAGGGCAATGCAGGGGTACTGGCATGACCAGGAATATTGCTGTTTGGGTTCCAGAGCATTGTGATCAAGTGAATAGTGCTACGAAGGGAGTCACGCACATTTTTTGGTTTCTTATCTTTATACTGCACTATAATTCATTAACACAGTGTGTAATATCGGGTCTCTAAAATGTACACCGATTAATTGAAATTACTTAATTGCTTGAAACTACTTATGAACCTGGGAACTGGTGGAAAAAAAGGGGCTGATTGATCTGTGCAAGCTTGCCATAAATGTGCAATTTTTACCAAGCTGTTATCTGGGAAACACAATAAAGTGACATGCAAAAAAAAAAAAAAAAAAGACATTGGGTATGTGCACTCGAAAGAATCTTATTCAACCTAATGCAATTCCCTCGATCTACTCTCACAAGGATGCGGGTCTGAGGAGGGGCCCCAAAAGAAAGTGATGCAGATCCTGAGGTTCCTTGATGTCATGGCAAAATAGAGCTGAAGGACGGGTTGAAGGGAGGCACAGATTGAATTTATTTTATTTTAATTTTATTTTTTAGTTTTCAGTGGATATAACATCTTTATTTTATTTTTTTTTAAAGAGAGAGTGATAGAGGGAGAGAGAGAGAGAATTTTTTTTTTAATATTTATTTTTTAGTTATCGGCGGACACAACATCTTTGTTGGTATGTGGTGCTGAGGATCGAACCAGGCCGCACGCATGCCAGGCGAGCACGCTACGGCTTGAGCCACATCCCCAGCCCCTCTTTATTTTATTTTTATGTGGTGCTGAGGATCGAACCCAGCACTCTGCGCATGCCAGGTGAGCGCGTTACCGCTTGAGCCACACCCCCAGCCCTTGATTTTATTTTGAGAAAGAAAGCAGTACACACTCTGACAGGGTAGAGTATAGGTGCTGGTGAAGAATGTGCTAGATACATCTCAGCCAGGAGTATTTATATATGAAACATCTGTAGTACAGGGACATGATCTAAGAGGGTGGTTTAGTCCTGCTTGTGACAGTAAGTGGAAGGATTAACAATTACCCAGTAGGCGTCATTTTCTTTTCTGATTTATTTTTGAAGAAAAATCGCTTTTTGCAATCCCCCCCGAGGGGGGGGGGTTCATTGTTCTGCATGTGAACTTAAAGATTACTACACTGGTAACATTGAAGGTTTGATGCAGAGTATGACATATAGATGACGTAATCAATTCTCAACGTATTAGTAGTAAGAATACCTACTTGTTGAGCTAAGGCATTTCTCAGATCCGTTTCTTTTCTTGTGGGTCCAGGTCAGGAAAGAAGTTATTTAAGGACCTGTGGGTGAGGACTAACAACTGCTGGAACAGTGCTGTTTGTAATCAGATAAGTGAAAGAGACTTTGAAACCTGCACTTTTAATCCAGGGTGAAAGTGGACTTTAATCTGAACCTTAAATCCAGGCCACTCTTGATTTTTCTACCCTGTCTCCTTTGTACCCATCCTATGTCTTTTATCCTACTTCAGGACACTGAGAAAATTGGTTTTAATGTGGTAGTTTATGGACAATGTAATAGATTCACTTGTAGATTTTTTTCGAAGACTTAAAAGTGTAAAACAAATCAAAATCACCCATAGTCTCTCCACCTGGCGACCCCAACTGCTAAACCAAATTCTTTCATATATATATTGGCACTGTCGCAGTCCTAACACAGATACACCTAATGTCCTCTTTTAACAGTTAGATAACAGTTGCAAAGTGTCACATGTGCTGTTTCCTATTCCTTCTGCATTGGGACAGATCCTGGGAAAGTGAGTTGGTTGTGAAACCCAGTGAAGTGAGCTACAGCTTCGGGACTCCTTGCAGATGGAACCATTAGCGGCGAGGGGGACAGTCCAGCAGAAGAGTAAAATGCACCCCAGCAGGAGCGGGGCCGCTGCCTGAGCTGCGCCTGGGACTTGGCTGGGGTCCCCGCAAAAGCGGAGCGCAGGAGGCTGCTTGGGGCGGGGCTTGGAAGGCAGCGCCTTAGGAAGGGCGGAGCCCGCAAGGTCCCAGACTCTTTGGCATGGGGTGCGGGTGGTTCCTGCTGTTGTGGGTGCTCCCCCAGGCGTGGGGAAGCTCTGASGGTGAGTGGCCCAGGGTGCCCGCGTACTGGCGCTAAAGGGCGGAGAGAGGGAGCGGGCTTGGGACTTAGGGAAAGGCTCCCCTGGGCGATGGGATGGACGCTGGGCCGAGGAGCCCAGAGAGCACAGATGCACTAGAGATCGCGGGGTCTCTGGCTCCCGACGCGGTGCGGCTCAGGGTCACCGAACCCCAGCTGTCCCTCCTGGACTCACCTTCTGCTGTTGTTCCTTCCTCTCCCTGTGCTGTCTGCTCCGTGGGCAATTCACTGTACTTACCCAGTCTTCCTTGTTCCCAGTCCTGCGAAGGAGTGTCCTCTTCCGCTATCTCCAGATCTCGTCCTTCACTAACAGCAGCTGGATGCGAACCGATGCCTTGATCCTGTTGGGGGAGCTGCAGACGCACAGTTGGAGCAACGCCTCGGACACCATCAGCTTTGTGAAGCCCTGGGCCCAGGGCACCTTCAGCAGCCAGCAGTGGGTCCACCTGCAGAATATAYTTCGGGTTTTTCGAAGCAGCTTCACCAGGGACATACAGGAATTCGCCAAAATGCTGTCCTTAGAGTGTGAGTTGAGCGGATGGATCCTGGGCAGGTGCCACAGTGAAAGAATGGACATGGAAGTCCTGCTGGGAGAGGGGATGAGATTGTCTGCTTTCTCCCCCTCTGAGGACTTGCACTTCTGCCTGGCTGGGCCCCAGTTTCAGGCATCAGGCCACCCACTCTCTTTTCCTTCCACTGTGGGTCCCCCGGTAACCCCAGTACCAGTCTCTTCTTCTTCCCTTTCAGTCCTTGAAACCTCATTTGAGTTTTGCACGTTTCTCTCCACAGATCCCATGGAGCTGCAGCTGTCTGGTGGCTGTGAGGTGCACCCTGGGAAC